AATGCTGCCTTGATTTACTTACTGTAGTCATCTGCAGACCAGTAGAATGTGCCGATCAACCATTAAAGAATCTCTGGCACAGATCTCATCCATCTTTCCCCTTGAATCAAGAGGACTTGCTTCCTTTCCGGGAAAACAGTGGCAGATGGCATGAGTCCAAGTCCTAAAGCCATTTGGGATTATTTCGCAGGGGCTATAAATCAGAACTGGGAATCCTGTGAGCTTCCAGATGTTGTTGAACTCCAACTCCCATCAGCCCCCAGCCAGCATGACTGATCATCGGCAGTGATGGGAGTCCAACAGCATCTAGAAGCCCACAGGCGCCCAATCCGCACTTGGATATACCAGTCAACTCCAGACTGTGCCCTTCCACAGCACAGCTATAATGAATGGAGGAAAAGCAATGTCTGTGTAGCTGCAGGGCTTATGGGCACTCTTGCACTGGTACTTGGGCCAGCCTTCAGGTTCAGCATCCATGCACGCATTTGAGGTTGTTCTTTCCCCTCTAGCACTAGCGGCGTTCTAACACCTACACTCAGTCCTATGAGCCACAGTCTTGTTTCTTTCTTCTCTCGCAATTTGTTAACATATTTAAACACAGTCATTTGACCTAAGTAAGCTAACACTTCGTTGCTGCTTTCTACCCAGCTGGATATTATTAACACTGTTATTAAAAGCTTTTCTTCTAATGCTAACTTCTGCAAGTTCTTCCAATGGATTTGTTCTCTGCTATTGTATTTCACCCCCCCTCCAAAAAAAGGGGGGGGGAATTCAATTCCTCTGTACAGCATTCCTGTTCAAGTGAGTAATGCTGCCTCAAAATAATTCTATACTGTCCAAAATTCCATCAACTAATTCTATCTGAGGCAGCGTTTATCCCAATCATTGCTCATGCTGCCGTTGACAATAATCTATTAAATCTAGGTCAGGTATTTCACTATCAATATTTTACTCTTGTGGTGCTCTGGAATGCAAACATTGGCACTTGTTTTTCTCCTCAGAAGGGAGCAAATACAGTCATACCTCTTGTTACGTTTGCTTCATGTTATGTTCTTTCAGGTTACGTCCCTTGGCGACCCGGAAGTACCGGAAAGGGTTACTTCCGGGTTTCGCCGCTCGCGCATGCACACAAGCACTAAATCGCACTTCACGCATGCGCACAAGCGCCAAATCACGCTGCGCACCTGCACAGATATGGCGCTTCAGGTTGAACTCATTTCATGTTGCGAACGGGCCTCTGGAATGGATCCCGTTCACAACCAGAGGTACCACTGTAGCAGCTTCCATCACAAAGCTGGTACATGGGCAACTCAGCTGCTTAAGGTAAGGGGGTAAAGGGGACCCATGACCATTAGGTCCATTCGTGACCGACTCTGGGGTTGCGGCGCTCATCTCGCTTTATTGGCCGAGGGAGCCGGCATACAGCTTCTGGGTCATGTGGCCAGCATGACTAAGCCGCTTCTGGCGAACCAGAGCAGCGCACGGAAATGCCGTTTACCTTCCCACCGGAGTGGTACCTATTTATCTACTTGCACTTTGACGTGCTTTCAAACTGCTAGGTTGGCAGGAGCAGGGACCGAGCAATGGGAGCTCACCCCGTCACGGGGATTCAAACCGTTGACCTTCTGATCGGCAAGTCCTAGGCTCTGTGGTTTAACCCACAGCGCCACCCGCGTCCCAACTCAGCTGCTTACATTCATCTTAAAGCAGGGATGGGGGACATGTGACCATCCAGATACTGTGGGACTCCACCTTCCATCAACCCCAGCCAGTACAGCCATTGGTCAGGGATGATGGGAGCTGTAATCTAGCGGCATGTGTGGCAGAAATTACAATTCAACATTCCACTTTTACATATGCACAAAATGCTGTGGAGTTCAGGTGACGTGTGCTGGACACAGAGGAAATAGCAATCCCAAATCCCTATTTTGACACGCATCTTTCATCCCTGCTTTTATCTAAAGACTCATCAGGTGACTCAAAGACAGGCACTCAAGTATATAGCGTTCCTGTACTGTTTTCCTATTCAGTGAGTAATGCTGCCTTAAAATAATTGTGTGCTGTCCAAAATTCCATCAGCAAAGGTCCCAGCTGACTATACATTTAAAGCAACAGCATCATAGCACTTCCCCCCCTAAACAGTCATGGGAACTGCAGTTTGCTCACCCTTCATTCCTACTTAAAATCAGTCCAGGGAGTGGCATGGCCTCTCCGGTCTTTCCTCCTCCTTGGTCTCTGTGATGGCCTTTGAAATATACTCCAAGTTGAGAGTGGATTTCATGCTCTTTATTCAGCTCATAATGATGAGGAGAAATGGAAGTTCCCCCAGAATGTCTGCTTTATATACATTATTTACACAATGGGCCCCATGTGATTGGCTAATTCTGGGATTCAGTTGTAGGCCAATCAGGCTGCAGATTCACTTCCACCTGGAGCTGGATTGGGTGGCTCCTGTGGACCAATCAGACTGCTGCATTCTGGATCCTATTGTTCTAGGACCAATCAGACTTCTGCATTCTGGATCCTATTGTTCTAGGACCAATCAGACTTCTGCCTTTTGGATCCTATTGGATCCAGAGTGTTTGTTGTGGGGGAGGAAGGGAAAGGAGAATGTTAGCCGCTTTGAGACTCCTGAAGGGGAGTGAAAGGCAGGATATCAAATCCAAACTACTCTTCTTCTTCTTCTTCTTCTTCTTCTTCTTCTTCTTCTTCTTCTTCTTCTTCTTTTCAGCTCAGTACATAACACCCATGTAGAACTGAGCAGGGGGGAAGATGGGTACAAAATGAGAATTAGCTGGCTTGGCATGTTATTGGTTCTCTGGCTCTACTTACTCTTGGCCTGCCACCCTATCAGTTCAAATGGACACCAGCTACAACTGCTATTATTAGGATCAGAATCTGCTCAGAACCTCAGTGACCTAAGGAAAGTACAGTTTTATATGAATTAGACAGTTTGATTTTAGTTGACCATGTCTGAGTAGGACCAGGCTTCCATCACCACCCAAATATCAGGCTAGGTATTAGGACAACCCTGTAGGTTCATGAAATGTGCTAACTGAGCCAGCAGTAATTAAGTTCTACTCTCTAGCAGACTCCTGCGATGTGTAAAAGAAACAAGAGTAACATATTTGCCTGGCATGCTGGAAAATAACAACATCTAATCCCTCCTAGAGTCTCCCAAGAAATTAGACTAGCTTAGCTGGCCTGCCCATGTGATATTACCCCTTTATATTCCAGTCTCAGAGCTTGAATGAACAAAAGGAAGTTAAGTAATTATAGTCTTCCCATTCATAATTAATCTTTTGTGGCATTAAGCTGGAATGCTGTAGCCAAAATTACATGTAAAATGTATTCTGCAATTTAACAGAAGCAAGAAAAAAGGAAGTGTAGACTGAGCTCTACAGCTGCAATTATCTCAGGAATGGAGAACATTCCTAATTTCAAAGTATTTACAACTCTCAAATTCTTCCTTAACCCAATATGTTATGAAGTTTGTAAAAGAATGTATGTCCACCTTTCCATTTTTTTAAAAAAAGTCAAGGCAGCTTACAACATATTTAAAACATCAACATCTCAACAGTAAATTGAGAATTATGGTACAAAATAATACAGTGGTACCTCGCAAGACGAATGCCTCGCAAGACGGAAAACTCGCAAAACGAAAGGGTTTTTTGTTTTTTGAGCTGCTTCGCAAGACGATTTTCCCTATGGGCTTGCTTCGCAAGACGGAAACGTCTTGCAAGTTTGTTTCCTTTTCCTTAACACCATTAATACAGTTGCGACTTGACTTCGAGGAGCAACTCATAGCCTTTTTTGTGTGGTAGCCTTTTTTGAGGTTTTTGAAGACTTTAGTGATTTTTGAAGCTTTTCCAAAACTTTTCCGACACCGTGCTTCGCAAGACGAAAAAAATCACAAGACGACAAAACTCGCGGAACGAATTAATTTCGTCTTGCGAGGCACCACTGTATTAGACTATAATAAGATAATCTCCTGAAATTATATTCATTTGTATCTTCTATCTCAAACAAATACAATGGTACCTTGGGTTACATATGCTTCAGGTTACAGACTCCGCTAACCCAGAAATAGTGCTTCAGGTTAAGAACTTTGCTTCAGGATGAGAACAGAAATCGTGCTCCGGTGGCACAGTGGCAGCAGGAGGCCCCATTAGCTAAAGTGGTGCTTCAGGTTAAGAACAGTTTCAGGTTAATTACGGACCTCCTGAACGAATTAAGTACTTAACCCGAGGTACCACTGTATAATCCCAGGGAATTAACAAATTCAGGGACCAAAAGTCTACCAAACAAGAAAGGTATTTGCAAGATGATAGAAGGGTCATCTTGGTAGGGAATTCCACATCCTGGGCATGGCCCAAAAGAAAGTTATCTCCCACATCCAACCAGCTCCACCTCAGTTTCCGGTGTGACACAAAGAACAGCCTTGCTTGTTGGTCTTAATCTGCTGCCACATCACCATCCTCCCAATGGCAGTGTCACCAACACCTACTGGCACAGTGCAATGGTGGGGTGGGAGAGCAGCAAAGTTGGGTCTGTGTGGGAGCACTGGCATGAGCATTGGATTGGCACTATTGGTACACCCCCCCACAGCCTCAATGTCACCATTGACCCTCACCAACCCAGTGATGCTACAATTGGGAGGGCAGAACCTACCATGTCAGGCTCTCCTGACTATTATTAATTAATTATTGGCCATTTTGGCCAAGACCCTCAAAGACTCCAATGATCCACTTTGGGTTATATTTTCCTTTACATTAGAGGCAGACAAAAAAGAAGTCTGGTGGTTTCATACTTTGTGCCTTGCATTCCCCACAGCCAAAACAGATTAATATTTATTGCATTTATAGCCCACTTTTTTCTCTTCAAGGAACTCAAGGTGGCCGACATGGTTCTCTGCCTCCTCATTTAATCCTCACAACAACCCTGTGAGGCTGGATAGGCTGAGAGAGAGCGACTGGCCCAAGGTCACCCAGCGAGCTTCATGAGCGAGTAGGGATCTGAACTCTAGTCTCCCAAGTTCTAGTCCGGCACTCTAACCACTACACCACACTGGCTCTCCCAAGATTCTGTGTAAAAGGCATGGAATTCAGCCTTAGGCATGTTTAATTTGGTTTAGATTCCTGTGGTATTATTGAAGCTGTATATCTTTCTAATTCCTCACCCTGTTATTGTTAAATGGACAAATAAAGCAGTTTGTTAGAATAATAGAATCATAGAGTTGGAAGGGGCCCCAACGTCACCTAATCCAACCCTCTGCAATGCAGGAATCTCAATCCAATCTGAAACCATACTGGACCTGGTGTAGCTTTGCAAATGTACTAGCAGTTTTATTGCTGCACCACTAGGAGGTGGCAACATTAGTCCTGAAACGTATAATCCCATACATGGCCCACTATTGTTTCTTGTTGCTTTTCTTTGGCACCATGTAATGGTGTGTGGAGGGATGCGGGTGGCACTGTGGGTTACACCACAGAGCCTAGGACTTGCCGATCAGAAGGTCGGCGGTTTGAATCCCCGCATCGGGGTGAGCTCCCGTTGCTTGATCCCTGCTCCTGCCAACCTAGCAGTTCGAAAACACATCAAAGTGCAAGTAGATAAATAGGTACCGCTCCAGCGGAAAGGTAAACGGCATTTCCGTGCACTGCTCTGGTTCGCCAGAAGCGGCTTAGTCATGCTGGCCACATGACCCAGAAGCTGTACACTGGCTCCCTCGACCAAGAAAGTGAGATGAGTGCCACAACCCCAGAGTTGGCCACGACTGGACCTAATGGTCAGGGGTCCTTTTACCTTTACCTAATGGTGTGTGGGATTTAGTCATATAAAGTCTGCAAATAGTCAACAACCTATAGTAACAAGTCGTAAACCTTGCTTCCCCTCCTTAGAATTATTTCTGTGGACAACCATGCATGGTAGATAATTGTTCTTTGTTCCCCTACAAGGGGAGATGGTTGCCCAAGTGTCGAACTCCCAAGACCCTCAGAAGAGAACCAATTTCTGCATGAGCGAGTCATTGCCATGATGATCTCAAATTCAGTAGAGGCTTCTTGACTAACTCCAGCAATGGGGCGTAAGCTGTGGTGGCCTGTGTTATGGGAAATAGCCAGCTCTTTGAATAATCACTTAAGTGAAAAGAGAGTCATACGGTGATACCAATCAAAAGTGCAATATGAACATCCTAGATCATCTATCTTTTATCAGTAGGGTTGTATTGAAATACATGGAACTCTGAGTCTTGGCTGTTTGTGTCTTCAGGGTTTCTTCTCTTAATAAATTCATAGACTGGAATAGGCCAGCAGCGCCTCTATCTGCCAGCTACCCATTTTCTAAATTGGAGGAGGAAACATGAGCCTTCCTCCTCTGGCTAACATTCTGTGCTGTGTGGGATTTTTAAAATCCTAAAGGAAGAGCACAACTTTGGGAAACTCCCAGAAAATGATGTCACCAAGGGGGATTCATTTGGCTGCTGGAATATTTACAAAGCATGGTGATTAATCTAGCTGTGCCCAGTTGGCCAGATTTGTAATACTCTAGTCATCATAATTCCCTCTAATCACAAACTCCTTGGCTGAGTGCCTATCCATTTAAAAACAAAACAAAAAAACTTAGAGATTATTACATAATCAGCAGTGGCCTGAGAATGCAGAAGTGCGTAACTTTAATATTTAAATGGGAATGATATTTTAGAGGAGAGAAGTCAGGAACATGTGAGCTTACAGAATATTAATAGCCAATAGAGAGGGGTGAGTGGATAAAAATGAATCTATAGCAGGGCTTGTGGCAGAGCCACAGAACCACAGAGCCACCCTCCCAGCAACAGGGCAGAGTTTGGACTTTCAAATTTCAGTGGTGCTCTGTGCTAGGCCAAAATTTGGCACCCTCTTGCCTCTCACCTTCCATCCTGTTCAATTCACTACATCATAGTTGCAATGGCCTGCAGTGCCCCCTAGGCTCAGTGCCCAGTGTGGTGGACCCGGCCGTGCTGCCCTAAATCCACCTCTGCCAGCAATGGCCTAGCTACAGCTTACCAAAGCAAGGCTGGGCTGAGGCAGGGCAGCAGGGAGACCAGAGCCACTGATGGGACTGCCAGATTGGTGGCAGAAGTCCCACCAGTGCTGCTGTGTGGGCTTGCCACTGTCCTGCGCCTCTTTACCCCTGTCCCATCTAGGTAGGCGGCCATGACTCTGGTGTCAAGAGGGTGGCTCTGCCCCACCACATGCTTCACTATTGAAAGAAACCAGAAGTCAGACAGACTGTGTGACTCTACCAGTTATGCTTTTGGCTGACATTGGCTGGAGACACACAATGCTTTTGTGCCAGCTGAAAAGAGCAGCAACTGCAGAAGTCAGCGGAGGGCAGAGGGAACTGGCCTGCTCAGTCCCCTAGAGCTTGTCCTGGCCATGAAGGTTGGAGATGCTTTTCTCATTTCCAGAACTGTGTGCCCCCTGCTATATTGTGTGAAAATACTCAGGTTTTGAGCTGGCAGCCTTTTAGTGCTAGATTTCCTTGTTATATTTGCTTAGCAAAATGCAGCTTAAAAAAATAAAAAGGGCAGTATTCAAACTTAATAAATAAAAAGTAATAAGTAATAACAATGTCTGGGTAGCAATAGTAGCAGGCATTCAAAATAATACAGCAAAGGACACTCACCTAATATTAACAGGCAGGTAGTATATATTTGTATGGAAGTGAGAGCTGGACCATAAAGAAGGCTGATCGCCGAAGAATTGATGCTTTTGAATTATGGTGCTATAGGAGACTCTTGAGACTCCCATGGACTGCAAGAAGATCAAACCTATCCATTCTAAAGGAAATCAGCCCTGAGTGCTCACTGGAAGGACAGATCCTGAAGCTGAAGTTCCAATACTTTGACCACCTCACGAGAAGAAAAGACTCCCTGGAAAAGACCCTGATGTTGGGAAAGATTGAGGGCACAAGGAGAAGGGGATGACAGAGGATGAGATGGTTGGACAGTGTTCTAGAAGCTACTAACATGAATTTGACCAAACTGCAGAAGGCAGTGGAAGACAGAAGTGCCTGGTGTGCTCTGGTCCATGGGGTCATGAAGAGTCGGACACGACTAAACAACAACAACAACAAAGTATATATTTGCACAGCATGGAAGGTCAAAGGGAGGAGGGGGGAATGTTCAGAATCAAAGATGTCCTTTAACCCTTCTCCATATTGGAAATGTAAAGTCCCATTCATGGCTGGCTGCAGTGCCAGATTTATGTACAGTGGTACCTCAGGTTACAGACGCTTCAGGTTACAGACTCCCTTAACCCAGAAATAGTACCTTGGGTTAATAACTTTGCTTCAGGATGAGAACAGAAATCATGCAGCAGTGGGAGGCCCCATTAGTTGAAGTGGTACCTCAGGTTAAGAACAGTTTCAGGTTAAAAATGGACCTCCAGAACAAATTAAGTTCTTAATCTGAGGTACCACTGTACAGTATATGAAAACTGGTGCTATTAACAGTAACCCTTCTAGTTGGTTAATGGCAACAAAATATCTGTGAAAGGAAGAGGAGCAGGTTTGCTCAAGTGTGTTGCAGGTAGAAATACTCTTTGTAATGAAGTGAGAGCAGTATTTGTTCGAATTAACAAATAAGAAAGTTTTGAGAATTAATCCATTGAGAAGGGGGTTGTACGAAAAACACTGGGGCCTGGTATCTGGAGGGCAATCTCCTCCTTTATTTCCACACTGTGGCTGCAGTGAGCTGCAGTCAGGAGAGCTATGATATTCAGGTGAGGGTCATATGCCTTGTCAATCCCAGCAAGTATATAACAGGAAGACTGTGTTTGTTGGCTGTAGTTTACTTCTTAATATGCATTTTAAAACTGTCTTTTTAATGACAACATAAAGTGGATTCTAAAAGTGCCACAGTGTCAGGTAATCATGATCATATTATTTACACTTCCCAGGCAATATAATTTTAAGAATAACATTACAACTTCATTTTCCTAAGAAATAATGCTTATTCCACAAAATGTTTGCAAAATTCAGCTATTGCAAAAGTTTTTCAGTGTTAATTTTATGCATTTTAAAAAATCACTATGGTATTTAACAAAAATGTCTTAGGTCCTTTAGAGGAGAAATTGTGAATTGCAGAATTTTAAATACCCGTCATCATCCTTGGCTTCACTCAATTTTATTTATAACACTCTTCCATTTTCTTCTAGTTGTGAGGGTGGGGGATGGGGAGGGGCCTCACAAGCAGAGTAGCCTAGGGCCTCTCTTCATCTAAATCTGGCCCTGGCTGGCTGGACTCATGAGCAGAGGCATTCCTCTTAAGCACTGCCCTGTCACACCATGCAGGTCCCACGTCTCTCTCTCCCAAACAGCCTAGTCCCCAGCACCACTTCCAAGAGTTAATTCCGGTTGTATAATATACCTATCCTGACTATCAGAAGAACATCCATTCTGTCCTTGACAAGAGAGAATAATCCGCATTCAAATTAAAGTTCGTCCCTGCAGCTACAAATAGCTCAACGGAAAACAGCAGTGCAGTGCCTGTTTATGCACTTTCCAGCACAAATGACCTCACCTCCTTAGCTCCTTGGACCACAAATCCTGCATCCCATTAACTGGGAGTGAGCCCCACGGAACTCCATGGGAGTTACTTCTGAATAAACATGGCAGTGTTTCTCTTCTGAAATTAAAATGAAGCACCGGTTTTACAGTGCTGATGAAACTGACTTTTTTCAGGGCTTGAGCAACAGTCTTCTGGAACTGGAAGTGATGGTATTCTTGGAGCCATAAAACTGTCCATAAAAAAAATCCACACCTTTCATTCACACACACACGAAACTGGGCCGTGAATCTTTTATTTTGTAAACTGTCTTGTGATCTTCAGATGAAGGATGGTATAGAAATTTACGGAAGAAGAAGAAGAAGAAGAAGAAGAAGAAGAAGAAGAAGAAGAAGAAATCTGAAGTCTTTCTTCATGTGTCCCTTCTAAGAGAGGTCTAGAGGGTGGCAACATAAGTATGGGCCTTTTCTGTGGTGGCTCCCCACTTGTGGAATGCTCTCCCCAGGGAGGCTCACCTGGCACCTTTG